CACACACACACACACTCTGAAACCTGTCTACCCCCCTGCTCTGAAACCTGTCTGTCCGCCCAACTCTGAAACCTGTCTGCCCAGTAGGTTGCAGCAGTGGGTGGGCATCACAGGGTCAGCCCTTAAATGGTTTAGATTCTTCCTCGCTGACAGATCCTTTTGTGTCTCCATCAAAAATCTTAGTTCAGCATTGGCAGCGCTTAAATGGGGGGTACCGCAGGGGTCCATCCTCGGTTGCCTTTTATTTTCTTTATACCTACTGCCACTAGGTGCTATTTTCTGGAAACACAACATACCCTTTCACTTCTACGCCAATGACTGTCAAATTTACTTCCCTTAAGACACAATGGTACAGGCTCTGTTCAACCTCTGCTCGACTGCCTGGCTGACATCAGGGACTGGATGGCTTTAAGTTTCTTGAGTTTCAATGAGAAGAAGTCTGAAGTCATGTTGTTCCCTCCCAACGACACGATCATCATTGACCTTTCCGCTTTAGCCCCGTTAGAGAAACAAAGAGTCACAAATCTGGGAGTGATAATGGACCCTTCCATGAAACTTAACAGTCATGTTCAAAAACGTTCAAGTCAAAAACAACTGGGCTTTATTTGTAACAGAAGACGTTTTGCGAAACGGAGTAAAGGAGGCCATCTTTGTGAAAAGAAACCGTCCATCATTAAACAGGGGTGGAGCCTCAAGGTTCAACTGTCCCCCTCTTACAATGCTGTGATTGCTAGTATCACTCAGCCCTCTGTGAACAGTAAACAGCCATCAGGTGCTAATGACCCATTGTTAGGCTGATGGTCCTTCTTGAGCATGTGATCAGCTGGTTCTGGTTGTCAGCAGCAAACTGGTTGATCCACTCTGAGAAGGTGCTATTTAAGAGACTGACCTGAATACAGCACCTCAGACTGAGGAAGTCCTCAGGATGAGAGACGAAACGTTTCTACATTTTTTTTTTTTTTGCTTTGTTTAGTTTTTTTGAATGTCCAGAGGACCAGATTGAACTTTTTTTGGATTTTTCTACCTGGATTATTGAGCATGTATCAGGATATATATTAAAGTGTTTTAAACCCTTCCCACATTCTTGCAATGTCCATAACAATTTTCTAAATTTAAACTCTAAATGCTCTAAAGGAGCGCTGCATGTCATGATCTCAGCTCTCTGCCCCTGGCTGCACTCTGCCACCTGCCAGCACTCTCGGCCACGCCCACTTCTCCGCTGCA